TTTCAATATTTTTGTATCTAATGTACAAATAGTTTATATTCATAGAAAAATTTTATTATTAATTACTTATTATTAATAGCCATCGCTTTCATTTATTTCCTGGTTTTTTAAAATAATATCTACCTGTTTCTTTATATCTGGTGAAATGGATATGGCGTTCTCGGAAATCTCCTTCAATTTTTGAATATTTATCACGTTCTTTTTCTACAAAACGAAAGTTTTTTTTTATAACAATTGCAAGTACGTTTTAAATGGAGTTATAAGGGAAATTTTAAATAGACATTTTAAATGGAGTTATAAGGAAAGGGTTATCTGGAAAGATAAGTGTTGAAATTAATTACTTCTTGTTCTGCGATCATGGCATTTACACGGGCGAGCTTCTTTATATTGTCATCTGCTTTTCTTCTCAATTGTACCAGTTCTTCCAGCAGGTTCTTCTTCTGCGTCGTCAGTTCGTTTATCTTTATACGAATCATTTCGTTTGGATCTTTGTAGTCCGATTTTTCTATGCACGCTTCGTAGTTGAGATGTATGTTCTTGAAACGCTCACAAAGATCCTCTTCCTCCAATCTCACATTATCCAACACAAACCGCGCTTTTCGCTGCAATTGCCTGATTTCGCAAATTTCCATTTCTATATTCTTGTACTCGTTGCGGTAGCTTTGCAACATTGGCTTACAACAATTGATTTCTCTCTCAATCTGACGGAGTTTATTCTTGAGATCCATTACTTCGATTACTTCAAACATGGACACTGCAACAAACCACATCTCTGATCGTATTCTGCCTATTAAGATAGATTAACTTTCATCTTGATTTGGCTTACTTTTTATCTTTTTCTAATTCTAAAAATTGGAAAAAGATAAAGAGTAAATTAAATTAAGATTAAAGTTAATCTACATCATGTTGGTAGAAATCCATTTTTCTATCAAAGAATAAATCTTTAAATAATTAAAGGATTATTCGTACTAGATTAGTGCATATTAAAAAAGTTGTTTTATATAACATATCTAGATACAAATATAATCATATAATCAACTTTGACAAAGAAATATATTTTTTTACAGATTAACTGTTATTTATTATCGTGAATCTTCTTTTATATTTAGAAATGTTACATGTACATTCTGTTGAACAATGTTAATAATTGTTAATAACTGTTAAATAATTGACAATATCATTAATAAAAAATAAAAGAGCATAAGAATCAGGCTATAATTACAGAAACTGTTAAAAACTATTTATAATACATTAATTAGATTAATTTTCAGATTTAGACGTTAACGTAATATAAGCACATGAATCTAATTATGTTTCAAATAGTTTTTAACCGTTTTATAAATTTCCGCGTTCGATACTCCTATAACCTTTTACTTTTTTATTATTGATTTTGAAGGAGTCTTATACATTTTAATTATTATTATTATTATTATTATATGACATTTTATCGCGGATTTAATTATTTAAAAAAACTTATACGTTTTTATATCTTTGCTCTTACTTCAAGTAGCAGCTTTTAATATGCACTAATTGTCGTGAAACGAACTTGCAAGTGAGCGAAAACCATAAAATTTATAACGCCAAAGAATTTTATTTTATATGAAAAAGTAGATTGCTAAAACAATTATCATTGAATAGATCAACACACAGTCCGAAATGTCCAAAATTATTATCCATCTCCATGTTAATTGTTGTAATTGTTCAACGAATTCAAAGTTATCTGACAATATGATGACGTCCTTAATGAGAAGGTCGGTCTTGCGGAAGATTGTGTAGCTCGCAATTTGTGTAGCACCGTGCACTAACGCCCTCCTAGAAACATTGCGGCCAAAGTAGAAAGCAGTCAGCTAAATGCTGCTAAATGGATGGTAACAGGAGAAACACGAGAGAGGTTGCAATTACCATGCTGGGGACCGAGTCTGTATTTTGAAACGAGGTGAAAATTACAAAATTACAAAAATGAACAAATTTATTGGATGTTGATTAATGAAATTATAAATATTGTAGTAAATTCGTTCACTTTTGTAATTTTCATCTTAAATATTTCAGGATATAAAATCAATAATTAATGTTTTAACATTGTTTTCGATATAAAAAATGATGCCAGGCATCAATTGCAGCTCATTTCGATTATCTCTGATATATTGATATTACAAATAATTGTACTTTTTTTAAATTACACTTGCAATTGCAGATTTAGACTCACGTTAAAACTATGAGGAAGAACAAGGACTAATAAGAGTACAGTGTAGATACGGATGTAAGTGTAGTTACCAAAAAAACAATGTTATTTTTTCTTGGATTAAAGAAGTAAAAGTTTACTTGTTTTTACTCTCAATAGCCTTGGTTTTTTCTTATTCTATATAAATAATATACGTAAAAATTCTATCATAGAACTTTTTCTTCTCATAGAACTCTAAGAATTTTTTTTAAATTTTTTATCAACTTTTTAGTATTGCATTTTCTTATTTTCATTATCATGAGAAAATGCGGTATTAAAAAATTCTGAAAAAATTCTCAGAACTTTATGAGAATAAAATAAACAATTTTTGTCTCTTACAGTTTTTCTGTAAAGTTGATAGTAATTGAGAAAAAAAAGATTAAAGACTAATATTCGGCTATTTTTAGTAATTAATATCTTGTTAACTATTGCGAAAATTGCAAAATGGTATAAAACTTTTTTGTTCCCCTTGACCTATTCTACACCCCCAATGCAGCTCCGACTTCACTTAACATACACTCTGTATATATTCTATAAACTGCATGTAAATGTTTTTGACCTTTGCTTCGATCCACGTCTTAAGTCATTATCGCGTTGAAGTTGGCTGCTTCTCGCGTCTCGACGAATTCTTGCGATTCTCTTGAATTCAGAACACATCGCGCCGAATTGCCGGGGTCGTGTTCGTGTTGCTCTGTATTTCTCGTCATTTCTCGCGATTGTTTGCCATTTGGAAGCAACCGTTTCGTGCGCGAAAACATTTTTTTGATGGTTTTTATGAGGGTTTCGTGAAATGTCGATCATTCGTCGAGATTTGTTGGACATCACAACGATCGCTGCGATATCAGCGATCTCTCAGTAGACCTGGAAGAGTCCATTGGAATCGTCCTTCGTATTTATTGTTTGAGGTGCAGCAAGACGAAAGAAGTAATGAGTACCTGATTATCACTAGGTACATGCAAATAATAATCGTTTTATAAATTAACTGAATCAATGAATTGCGTTGTCTTCGATAAATTTGTCGTTTGTTCATTTTTGACATTCCAAATCAATTTTATTACCACATTCCTGATTTTATTTTATTGAATAGTGACCGTTGATCCTAATTGCGCTTTTTACATTTATTTTTCTTATTTCTCCTGTAAGTATTAAACTCTTATATGTTAAATCCAACAAGCGTGATTTAATAAAAGTAAAACGAGAGTTGGATATCGTATCGCACAATTTGATGAAAATTACGAAAATGAGCGAGTTTATTTTACTAAAATTATAATTTTATTACACCTCGTGAATTTGCTTATTCTATAATTTCTATCAGGTTGTATAATATTATACACAATCCAGGGGATAAATCATGTATGATTTTTTTCTTGGACAGAAACGTGAAAAGTAAAAATTCTTGAAACTGAATACTTGAAATAAATTACTTAGATTTATAAAACCTTTTTCAGTGTATATGTATATGTACATACATATAATAAATACTTTTATTTAAAACAATATTTGCAATACAAGTGTATTTCAACGGAGCACATAGAATTACGTATTAAAATTTATATTTAAAATCAAAAGATTGAAAGTTTTTAATTGTAATTCAAATAATACAATTGATTGTCAATCTTAATATTTGAAATACAAGATACTATTGTCTTACAAATAGTTTTTCAAAGAAAAATATTTCAAATATCCGTCTAGTAGTCCTTTATACATATACAAATTTTTAATTTTTATATGTCTATGGTAGGGAAAATGTTACATGATTGATTTCCCGATCGAACTATTCCGCGATTAGCATATTGCCGAAAACAGCGGCAGATTCAAATACGGCCTCGCAAGATGGCGGCTGGCGCCCGGAGCGTTTCCCGCGTAAAACAGCGCCGTCCCGCAATTGGCCGCGCTCCACCAATGGCTCGGCGTCGCGCGCTCTGCGCCGCGAGATGGCGGCAGCGTACGATCACAGTGATCACAACGCACCCGCGATTCGCCATTGCGACGTGATTGCCTACTACCGAAGTTTCGTATCGTGTTCGTGCGTGAGAATTCGTTCCGGTGTGTCCCACGACGGACTTCCTTGGCTGCGGCCTACGCAAGTGCAAGTAAGTTGAGAATCGCCTTCTGTCGCGCGAACGCGCTCGAATTCGCCGGTCGAGAAGCGGAATCGCGCGCGCCGTAGGCCGAGACGTCACGCATCACGGAGGCGCGTCGTCGCGGAGGGATACGCTTTTTCTTTTCTTCGCGGAGAATTAATCCCGTATTTCCGGCCGCCGTCGTCATCATCGTCGTCGGTGGTCGACGTGTCGGCCGTTCCTACCTCGCGTCCCTCCATCGCGCCGCGCTCGCTCGTGGCCGTCACCGACTGATCGCGAATCATCGATGAGCAGCGACGTCTCGATTTTCGCATTCCTTCTTTCTTAACGCGTAACATTCCAGCGCGTTCGTACGTCGTGGCACCGACAGCGGTACGTTGTCGCTTTTGGAGGTTATACGTCGCGACAATGCGACGCGACGCGACGCGGCGCGGCGCGGCGCGGTGCCGCGTCAGCCGCGTGAGCGATGGTTGCACGCGACCGCAGAAGCTCCGAGTCGATACTTCGGGATCTTTCCTCGAGTTGACTCTTTGCTCGAGACTTCGATGATGACTTTCGATACTCCGGAGCCTTATTCTCGAAAAATGCATTAGGGCTGTATTCCAAAATGTCCAAAAGCGTCCTCTCCAAGGAAAACTTTACTCGATATAATATAGTATACGTTACGTATACTATACATTTTGAGTAAAATTTTCCTCGGAGAGGACGCTTTGGAATGTAGTCGTGACTTTACAGAAATACTAGACATCTGTGACTACGTTCAGCGGAAAAAGCAGCTTTGCAAATGTCGTAAAAATAAATTCTTTAATACGATTGTTTTTGTATTTAATTTTTTACCGGATCTAAATGTACAAGTCAATTATGTTAAAGAATTTTTACAATAGTTGCAAAGCTGGCTTTCTCCGATGAACGCAGCTAAGTATAAATCAATTGTATTCGTTCCTTTAGACTCTGCAGACATTGTAATGTACGTCATACATTTGAGGATATCCATTAAAATTATTTAAGTCGATCGATATTATCTGAGATCTGATGCACATAATAATGTATATGTTGTAAAAATAATCAACATTTTGAAAAAAATTTATTGTTTAATGTGAATTATTTATTAAAGTGCGCATGAATTGAATTGAAAGAAAATATTTTTAACATTCCAAGAGAGAGTAAAATCAGATTAAAAGGTTAAAGAATCTTATAATAGTTGTAAAGCTGCTTTTTCTGCTGAACGCAGTCAATAATGTACATAATGTCATATACTATATTTTCGTTCATTTTGATGCGTGATATTTTTTAAAAATATCTCTTGAGATCATATTTTTAAAAAATAACGCGTACAAAAATGTATGAAAATACTATAATATACGTTACATACAGTAGCTGCCAAAAGTTTTCGACTAATTGAGTAATTTTAATATATATTGCTTCTAAAGAATATAAATAAAAATATCTAATATACAAATACGTAATATATTTAAAATATCAAACTCAAAGCTTGAACAAGAATTTTTTAACTTATAATATAAATTAAAAATTAGATTGACAAATGTATCGTGGAATTGTTAGCCGGAAACTTTTGGGAGGCACTGTATATTATAGATTTTTCTAGTATTTTTGTATGCGAGATTTTTCAAGAATAAGGTTATTGATACTCTCTGAAGCGCAGCACGACATTGTCGACGCGAAAAACCGAGTAAATAAATAAAATACTTGGTTGACTATTCCACGGTCGAATGTAGAATTCTAGATTCTTACTTTGCAATATATATATTTCCTTTTGAAGGCGAATAGTTCGTACCGCTAAACTACTTTAATGTATCGTATGGCAGGGAGTGGTAAGCTGTAATCTGTCACGGTAACGCATTGTTTATTCGCAACAAGAAGGAGAGCTCGATATCTACGGTGGCGTTATCTCGCGCGATAAGAGCTCCGAATGACGCGTGCGACTAACTATGCACGGAGAATTCGAGAGAGAATATATTTTCTCGATCCGCATTGGAAATTTATCAATTTTTTTTAATTGTAATAATGCTCTTCATACAATTTCTCGATATTCTGTAACAGTTTTGATCACGAGCGATTTTGTCAAAATCCTACGAGAGAGCACGGAAAAAAATAATGTTGCTATGAACGTAAAAAGCTTGCAAAATTTAATTGTCAAATTTGTTTGCTATTCATAGTAATGGAATTTGCACATTTGACAAATATTTTGCATTTGTTGCAAATAATTTTTGTAACGAGTATAAAAAAGATAAATATTTGTTACATTTGGAATAATTTTACGCTTTCTATATTTGCAGATAGAATTTGTAAAATATATTCTTAAATATGATTAGCGTTTATAACAAAGTTTTTCTCTCTGTGAAAAAAGTATAATCTTCATATACAGGATATCCCAGAATGACCGCCAAATATTTCGTGCGTAGGTAGAGCGTACTAAACTGAATCGAAAAGTCCTCTTATCATTTTGCAATTTTCGCAATAGTTAATTAGACATCAATTACTAAAAATCCGAATATTGATTTTCAATAATTTTTTACTCAAACACTATCACGTTTACAGAAAAACTGTAAGAGACAAAAATTGTTTATTTTCTTCTCATACAGCGCTAAGAATTTTTTCAGAATTTTTTATCAACTTTTTAGTACTGCATTTTCTTATATTGGCAACTTTTTACCAATATAAGAAAATGCGGTACTAAAAAATTTTGAAAAAATTTTCAGAACTCTATGAGATGAAAATAAACAATTTTTATTTCTTGCTGTTTTTCTGTAAAGTTGATAATACTTGAGTAAAAAATTATTGAAAATGGATATTCAATATTAGTAATTAATGTTTTGTTAACTATTGCGAAAATTGCAAAATGGTACAGGACTTTTCGACTCAATTTATTTATAGTCCGCTTTACTTGCGCGATAATTGCCACAAAATATTTGACGGGAATATTATTCTGGGATATTCTGTATATGGAGATTATATACCTTTCTCACAAAAAGAAAAAATTTTACTATAAACATTAATCCTATGCTATGTGACAACAAATTCTAGACAGCCAACTCGGTTTGGTCTATTCTACCTGCGCATGAAATATTTGGCGTTATTCTGGGACACATATGTACATGCACATCATGCATATGCATTGAAAAACCCATTTAGTTAAATCAATTAATCTTTTATTTGGTAAACAAATTCTTGATATAATGCAATAAAATAATGTAGTTAAAACAAAAGTTTTTCTTTATTTTAGCATTATATTTGTTTCTGATAAAAATTAACATCTGATAAATTTATTTATCAGAAACAGAGGTAAAATGTTACAATAATCAAATGTTTTGCTTCAATTTTTATTATTTTATTGCGTTAACCAAGGATTTGTTTGCCCATATCCAAACAAATTAATTGACTCGACTAAATGAGTTTTTCAGTGATATGTACAGGGTATCTTAAAATAATCACCAAATATTTCATGGGCAGGTAGAGCAGACTAAACTGAGTCGAAAAGTCTTCTATCACTTTGCAATTTTCGCGATAGTTATAAGATATTAATTACTAAAAATTGTCTTCAATAATTTTTTACTCAAGTATTATCAACTTTACAGAAAAACTGCAAGAAACAAAAATTATTTTCACAAAATTTATTTTCTTCTCATAGAACTCTATGAATTTTTTCAGAATTTTTTAATCAACTTTTTAGTCCTGCATTTTCTTATTTTTACTAATATGAGAAAATACAGTATTACAAAAATTCTGAAAAAATTTTTAAAGTTCTATGAGAAGAAAATAAACAATTGCGAAAATTGCAAAATGAGAGTAGAGGACTTTTCTCAACTTATAATCAGTTTAGTATCCGCTCTACCTGCCGACGAAATATTTGGTAATTATTTTGAGACACCCTATATATAAAATTTCATTCAAGCTTATATTGTCTTACTTTATAATCTTAAAGTCACAGAGTGAGACAATATAAGTTAGAGTGAGATATTATGTACAGGAAGAAATTATACATGTATAGTGTGTATATATATATATATATATCTTTTGTAGGTTTTGACAAAATCATTCGCGGCCAGATTCTGATATAAGGTTTCTATTCGAGATGAAATAGAAGTAGAATTGATAAGAAAAAGCGCGATGCGACACAGATGTATTTTTCAAAATAACTTGATGGAGAAATTTTCTATCGACAAATCCACATGTGATTTGTCTTCGTCCGAGAATTAACATTTGTCTCTCCCTAATTTTACCAGTCGACGTGAACAAGTGTAACTAATCATTAGGCAGTGATTCAGTGCCAATTTTACGATATCTCAAAAGTTTCTTCGTTTAGGCTGGGAAATATAACGCTATTTTTGGTACAATCAAACAGGATGTCCGTGTTCCGTCAAGTCTATATCAAACGCACGCATTTTTAGGAGCGCAATATCCATTATCGAGCAATGATTTCATAAAACAAATACGAGGACAAAAAAGATGTATAACAATATTCACCGACAGCGACCTAATTATATCTAATAATTAATCTATCAGTCTAATAAGCTTGTTAATTAAATAGCAATGTTAATTAAACAAATATGCTTTCTTCTGGTTTAATAAAATGTTATCTGTTTCAATCTGTCTCATTGAATTAATAACACTATTTTTAATTAGACTGCTCTTGGCTAATACTGTTGATCTTTAAAGTGAGTGTCTATTTCTAAAATCTTACAGCTTATTCTTGAGTATTTGTTAGGCTGACAAGAAATGTACTAAATTTTAATAAATATTTGTTTAAACAGTATTAATTAAACATTTACCTATAGTTAATAGATATATTTATTGAATTGAAAAATAATATATCAAATTAATCAAATTATAATATTCTTGCATTAAAAAATATGTTTACATTTAGTAAATATTTAGTTGTTACTATTTATACAAATATTAAAATTTAGTGCATCTTTTTTCAGTGTATAATTCATTATTTATTATTTCATTGTATTTCTTGCTTCAAAACACTTTCACGTCTTATAAAG